GGCACTTTTTCTAGTCTATATCCATGGCAGGTGTGCACGCTAGTCTTTGTGCACCTTTTTCAAAAACCCTTGTTGGGTAAGGGTGGCACGATGCTGACCTCGTCCCCTTTCTCTGAGTTGGTTCTGGCCCCCGTTTTACCTTGGGCCCCACTCTCCGTGTACACACTTTGTAGACAGGGTGTTGTTACTAAGTCCCCTGGGTATCTTATACTCTCAGAGCGGGAAGTAGTCCCTGTGTTACAAGCCATGATATGGGTTTTTGCCAGCCCTGGTTCTTGGCTGTATCCCCTTAAAGGAATCATTTCTTTATGATTCCAAGCCTTGAGCTTTGCCCTGGGCTTGGGTTTTTCATAAGCCAGCCCTTGCAGGTCAGTTTTTTGGCACAGCTCAGGCCTTTTGGCTGTAGGGGATCAATTCACTAACAGCCGTCAGAAATGTCCTAGGGGCAGCTCCTCTGATTTGGTTGAGTTGTTCCCTGAGAAGGGAACGAGACACTGCTTCCTCTAGTCTCCTGCCATGCTTCGGATGTAAGCGCCATGCTTCGGATGTAAGTTTCAGACGAAGAAGCGGATGACGTGTTCTCCTGGCGCCCTTTTATACTGTGGTTGCGCCGGTGATGACGTCATAGGCTGTCACTGCCCAATAGCATTGGTGCGTTTACATGTATGCTTCAGACACTGGTCACGCTGGAGGGTTCCCCATAGCGACCCCTAGAGGACGCAGTGTCTCGTTCCCTTCTCAGGGAACCATGGTTACATACGTAACCTGAGATGTTCCCTTCCAAGGGAACTTCGAACTGCGTCCTCTAGGGGTCACTATGTGGAACGGTATACCCACGCCAACCCCTAGAGGACGCAGTGTCTCGTTCCCTTCTCAGGGAACCATGGTTACATACGTAACCTGAGATGATTTCTGTGATGTCTTTTAATGACTTTTCCATGATCTTTGGAGTCTTTTTGTCACTTTGAATAATGGTTTTTACAAATTATTTTATACAGACTTTTGGAGATTTTCATTTGTATGGAAAGTACCTTGTGAAAAAGGAGAACACTGTAGCATATTACAGAAATAATATTCTTAACATCATATACTTCAGTATGATCTGAATTTAATGCTTTCAAAAACTTAATTGCATCTTAAATGCAAATAAATAAAATGTATTATAATTTACATTTATATTAAATGCAATTAACTGGACTTTAGAGTGTTTTAGACCCTCTAGTAGGAATATATTTATATGCAATTTCATAATTCTATTTTCTTTGAAATATTGTTCAAGTGTACTTACTAATGTACTGACAAGCACTTATGGTAAACTAAAATAAACTTTCATGGAGGGTTCCCCATAGCGACCCCTAGAGGACGCAGTGTCTCGTTCCCTTCTCAGGGAACCATGGTTACATACGTAACCTGAGATGATTTCTGTAATGTCTTTTAATGACTTTTCCATGATCTTTGGAGTCTTTTTGTTACTTTGAATAATGGTTTTTACAAATTATTTTATACAGACTTTTGGAGATTTTCATTTGTATGGAAAGTACCTTGTGAAAAAGGAGTACACTGTAGCATATTACAGAAATAATATTCTTAACATCATATACTTCAGTATGATCTGAATGTAATGCTTTCAAAAACTTAATTGCATCTTAAATGCAAATAAATAAAATGTATTATAATTTACATTTATATTAAATGCAATTAACTGGACTTTAGAGTGTTTTAGACCCTCTAGTAGGAATATATTTATATGCAATTTCATAATTCTATTTTCTTTGAAATATTGTTCAAGTGTACTGCTGAATGTACTGACAAGCACTTATGGTAAACTAAAATAAACTTTCATGCCATTTCTATACTAACTTGCATGTCATGTATTTAAATATTTTTAATTAAACATCTGTTACGATGAAGTTGCAATTTAGTACATTTAATTATATTAACTTTAAATCAAATAACACACCACAGTTAAAATTATAAACAAGTACTTGTGCTTTTGTAGGTCAAAATAAGTATACTTGAAAGCATGACAAAAAATATTTAAAACAATGATTTAAAATGTAGATAAAGTAAAACACATTTAATGATACATTACAAAGTGCACATTTTAAAATAACTTTGGTTGGTTTAAACATAGTCATAAAAGTACGCTTTTTAAGTACACTTTTTATTTCTTTAATATTATATGAATGCAAGTACAGATTTTAAAATGCACCTTTACGATTTGAAGTACACTACTAGTGCATAATCAATACAATTAAGCGCACTTCTATTAAAGGGTTTGAATGAATAAATGTAAACAAATACACTTCGAATACAAATGTCTCCAATGAACATCCTGAGGCTGGAATGCACTGTACACTATGTTGTTCAGGAAGACATTTTCCAGCATGTTGCTCTTAAAAATTATGTTTTCTTTGATGGCCTAAAACTGTCCCAGAGGTTGAGGCCTCGCAGCATCACAGCCACTGAGAGCTGCTTGTGTGTTAATAAATGAGCCTGTGAGAGTGTGTGGGCTAATATATGGGCATGTGAAAGTGTGTGTGAGTTAATAGATGGCTCTGTCTGAGTGTAGCTGACAGAGGGATTATTCGCTCTCATAACTCGGCAGCTCTGCGGACAGATGTTGCCTGCCAGACACTCTGCAGGGCGGCTCGTTTGTCATCCAGTAGCGGACCGACGCGTCCCTGGCCCACAGTCTGCGCCATAAAGACTTAAACACTTACAACTCCACCTCACTGAGATATACAGCAGCTCATCTGAGATACGCCTTGCTCTACTGAAGAGCTGAAGACTCGCTTAAGTCTGCCTCTGCAGTAAAAACTCTCAACTCAAGTGCTGAGGGGTTGTGGGGTTTGACGTACTTCAGTCATTACTGTCACTCAAACACACAAGCAAAAATGGAAATGGAAATGGAAAAGTCAAAACAAAAAGGTTGGGTAGTTCTCATAAGTATATATTGTACTTCACCCTTCAAAAGTTTGGAAATGTTTGGTTTTTGGAAAATATCATGAACCTTTATTATTTCTTGTGTTTATTAAAGGGGTCATATGATGCGATTTCAAGTTTTCCTTTCTCTTTGGAGTGTTACAAGCTGATTGTGCATAGATAAGATCCCTGAAGTTGCAAAGACTAAAGTCTCAAAACCAAAGAGATATTCTTTATCAAAGTTAAGACTCTGCCACACCCCCCTAAAACGGCTCGTTCTAACACGTATCGTTATCATTGAAGACCAGCAATAATGACTTTTAAAATTCATAATAATGGCAATATATACATGTAATGGCAGACTCCTTTTGGCAACTGTGATTCCTAATTAATTACTGGATTAAACTTGCCACAGGTTACTTTTGTGATAAAAATAAAAATAAAAATAAAATACAATGTAGGCCTATAAAACAATCAATCAACCTAGCAACAAACAGGGTTAATATCATTAACTAAATCCAAAAATTACAACTAAAACCATAAAAAATGGCACTTGAAACAAATTAAGGGTCAGTTTTACTAACAGCTTGCACAAATCGTCTTTTGGCGTTAAAATAGTACTGTCAGGTTTTACTAAAGACGCGCAGTGAAGAATTAGCGCTGAAAAGGCGTGGATCCATTTTTGCACCTGACCTTATTGAATATGCATTTCTAGGAGTTTCCCTTTCAAACGCAAAAGTTATGTGAGGAGAGTATTCAAATGAATGGGTGTGTCAAACATGTCAGCCCAATCAGCAGCAACATGTATATAAACCACGCGGTATTAAAGAGACAGCTCGCACAATGTAATTAACATCCAAATAAACTCACAAGAGCAAGTATATTGTTTGCACATGTTTATTTACATTAAAGGCTGAACGCAGCCCTGGTCTATCAAAACTTCTAGCAAACCTTCATTTTTTGGCCTCCAGTTCTTTTCAACGTACTGTGGCTTATTTATTTCTTTGGAAATAAAACTAAAATAAAACTAGATCTATAGAGACATATTAAACATGAAGTATTAGACATAAAATAATGAAAATGACAAAAATTAAACTAAAATTAAAATGTAATGGAGAATATAAAAATAAAAACTAAATCAAAATATTAATAAAAGCTATAATAGTATAACAATAATTTGAAAATATGTTGAAAATATAATAATATATTATAATATATACTGAAGTAACGAAGTCCTCTGAGGCACCAGAGTTGTGTATGAAACAAAGAGCAATATGAATAAAACTATTTGGATTGCACTACAGAAGAGAGCTTCAAATTGCCTTCCTGACAGGGTTACTGTCATAAACTAAAACTACAAAAAAAAAAAAAAAATCATTAATTCAAATAAAATAAATATTATCTAAAATAAAATATAATAATGCTCATTTTCATTTAGTTTAAGTTGAAGCACTGAAATAACTGAAAGTAAATGAACTAAAACTAAAACGTAATAAAAATAAAAATAAATCGACAAAAACAAAAAAAGATCAAAACAACAAATTTCAAAAACGAAACAAGCTAAAATGTAAATATAGAAAAATACGATCTAATGCAAAATATTAACAATAATTTTTATTAGTGATACTACAACAACTCTCCCAGACATCATTGCTACAACCTACATTGTCAAAAATGCAGTAGTTTAATATAATAATGCATAGCAACAATATGCTGTATTTATAACCTGAAGTTTAATGCAAATTAATGTAAGAAAGTTTTGGGAGATTTTGATGGTGACAGTAAAAAGAGAAGGTAAGAGAACATATTGATTTTAGAGTAGGACTGCAGTGACTTTGATTTCTGCAGGAGCTGTTCTGAATAGCTGTTCTTGGGCACAGGTCTGTACCTGAATGAGGCGTCTGTGTTTTCTGCTTTTCTTTGTGTTGGGAGATGAATGCGAACAGACATTTGTTCTGAACAAACACAGTTGCCCTTTAGCTTTGTAATTTATTTACCCTCCCTGAATGAGGCCAGTCCGATACGTCTGCTTGTGTCTCATTCACGAGTGTTGTGTCTTTGTGTTTTATCTGCAGGAACCCGTCTCCTACCCTCCGCCAGCCTGAGCACTGGTGCAGGAGTTTCGGTCACTTCATTGCTCAGTGAGTACAGCAGCTTCATCTCTCTCTTCTGTACTCTTTTGATGTGTGCTGTCACTAGCATTGTGTTTTATGTTTTACTTCAAGCCACTTGCATGTTTTTACTCCTGAATCTGTGTGAAGTACTGAGGAATACGGAGTATTTAGATCAGACAGGAAATGTGTTAGAATTTCTCAGTGGTTCCGAAAAAAAAAAGTAATAATTTTGAAAACATTTATTGTATACACACTACCATTCCAAAGTTTGGGGTCAGTAAGTGTTTGATTTGTTTGTTGTAAGTTGTTTTTTTTCCTTTTAAAGAAATTAATTATTTTATTCAGCAAGGATGCATTAAATTAATCAAAAGTGACAATAAAGACATTGTTACAAAAAATCTATTTCAAATAAATGCTGTTGTTTTGAAATTTCCATTAATCCAAAAAAAAAAAAAAACTGTTTTCAACATTTATTTATTTAAAAGAGTTATTTGTTTTAAAATGTAAAAAAAATTATTTTAAATGGTCATTTGTTGTAATGTTATTGTTTTTACTGTTTCTTGATCAAATAAATGCAGCCTTGGTGAACATAAGAGATATCTTTCAAACAAAAATGAACCAACCAAACAAACAAATAAGTCAATAAATAAACAACACCCTTTTGTCAGGGCGTTAAAACAACAACAACAGCAACAACAACAATAATAATAATAATAATAAAACGTTCTGAAAAGAAACAAAAGGCCCAGACTACCAGACAGCTGGCAAACTAAAAACTGTCAGAGAGCTATACAAGAACAAAACAGTCAACAAAGCAAACTGGGCAGAACAGCAAGTGCTGGGACTGTATCTTGGTAGACAACCAGAAAATAGTGCCAACTGACACATGACACAGAGACGGGACAAATGACGGATAAACCAGCAACAGGATGAGGACTTACAAATGGGATCTAAAGGTAAGGAAATCAAGAGTGCAGGTGGGACAAATCAACTAATGATCAGGGAAATGAGGAGATAACAGGGCAAACGAGGAGGAGGAGCCAGCGCAGGACGAGGAAAACATGCAATTCAAAACAAGATCTTGAGAAAAAGCACAGGAAAATCAGACATGAGTGTCAGAAATGCTTTGCTTTATGCCGAGTTCACACTGCACGATTTTAGCCCGATTTTTCACTCGCCGACAGGTTTTGCGAAATCGCCGACAAATGCCCGAAATCGGAGGCAAATCGCTGCTCGTTCACGCGAGTGACAATCACACAGTGTGAATTATCGTCGTTCAGTGTGAAACCAACAGTGATGCGACGTCTTTGAAAATCGTGCATTGTGAACTCGGCATTAGTGTGCTTGTGTATCTTTCCCTAAAAGTCTCTTGATTTGTTTGACAATCAGATGTCTTGATTATGGCTTAAGTGTCCAGATCCTTTTGGTGTTGTTGTACCTCCATCCTGTCAGTGTGTTCAGCTGTAATTTCACTTGACAAGACCAATTCTGGCTGTTTCTGTATGAGCAAAACATGCAGTGAGAAGTTTCCACAAACGCCTCTCAGGCATACGATTTAATTCCTGTCAGACAGACTGTAAATAAAAGAGGCCCGGCTCTCTGTGTGTGTGTCTGTGTACATAAAAGCAATGAAAAGCCCAGATTATTATTTCATTATTGAGAATGAAAACATCAGAGAGAGGGATGCTGTGTGCGCGGCAGGAGGGCTGTGAATGCTAATTGACTCATTTATTTGTGTTAGTTGTTCATTTGTCAGTGTGGCAGGTCTGCTGGTCGCTCGTGATGAATTAAAAGCACAGACGCAGTCATATTCATTAAGCGTGATTGTGTGTGTTTCTGTGTGCTGGTGGGATTTTATCCTGAGTGCTCTTTAAGTGCTCCTGTGTGTACAGTCTGCTACACACATGGCTGGTTGGTGTTGTGGTTAAAATTCAAGGTTGATTGTTGCAAGTCTCAAACTGGTTGAGCCATTAACTAGCACCATTGTGCCCTTGAGCAAGACACTTAACCGCAGGTTATTCCAGCAGACTCCGTGTACTGTAGTTTGACTGTGGAAGCTTATACCATTTTTCTGAGATCCTCTTTTCATTTTCTCAGTTCATAAATTTGATGGATGTGTAATTAGATTTTGAAGAGCTGTTAACTAGCTATTAGTTTCTAGAATAGAATGCTTATGAAGCATTATCTTCTGTCATTTAACCTGAACTGTTCGTTAAAGGTGCACTTTGATTTTTGATAGGTAAAATAATTACTTGAGTTCGACCAATGTGGCTGCCATCTTTTACTTCATTCTGTCATCCAAAGTATTCAATAACAAGGGGATAGTGAGTAGTGTTACCACGGTAAAGTAAGTCAAGTCAAATTATTTGACACAATTTGTATTGTATAAAGAGATAAACAGGAAAAAACAGAATCAATTGTGGAAACTCAGTTCAGATTTGTCTGTAAAGTGTCTCTAAAAGAAAATTTTTTAATAAATTTTTTTTTTTAAGCTTAAGCTAATTACTTAGTAAAGCAAATAGAATTCGGCTTCACTTCATTAAACTCCAAGCAAAAGGTTGCCAGATATCAAAAAAGCAACCTAAAAATGAACATAAACATAGCCTCTATGTTAAGACTGTGTTTTAAAGGAACACTCCACTATTTTTGAAAATAGGCTAATTTTCCAACTCCCCTAGAGTTAAACAGTTGAGTTTTACCGTTTTCGAATCCATTCAGCCGATCTCCGGGTCTGGCGGTAGCACTTTTAGCTGTAGCTTAGCATAGATCATTGAATCGGATTAGACCGTTAGCATCTCGCTCAAAAATGACCAAAGAGTTTCTATATTTTTACTATTTAAAACTTGACTCTTCTGTAGTTACATCGTGTACTAAGACTGACGGAAAATTAAAAGTTGCGATTTTCTAGGCCGATATGTCTTTTTATTAAGGCTGATATTACGCAGCGCCTGAAAATAGGCTTATTGGAAGTTACCTAGCTGGGGACTATTTTCAGGTGCTGCGTAATATCATTGCGAAAACGGTAAAACTCAACTGTTTAACTCTAGGGCAGTTGGAAAATGAGCCTATTTTCAAAAATAGTGGAGTGTTCTTTAACAACTAGTTTGATCATCTAGCTAGCAGTTGTAATCAGACGTAATCAGTCTAGATTTAGATTAGACCAATCTAGCTTTTTGTAATTGTTTTTTTAAAAGTTATGACTAGATGACTAAAAGCTAGATGACTTTTTAAATTATAAATAAGCAGTTTATACAACCTGCCACTGGTATAATATATTGAGCCTCGTTATTGTGCTTTGGGTGGGTATAGATATATATATATGTTCGTACACTCTAAAAAATGCTGGGTTAAATACGACCCAGTGCTGGGTAAAATAGGGACAAACCCAGCAATTGGGTTGTTTTGACCCAGCGGTTGGGTTAAATGTTTAACCCAACCTTCTGGGTAGTAACCCAACCGCTGGGTCAAAACAGCCCAATTGCTGGGTTTGTCCCTATTTTACCCAGCACTGGGTCGTATTTAACCCAGCATTTTTTAGAGTGTATGTTGCGTAATTAGCAGACATGGCAAAACTGTACCAGAAACACAAATATATGAGAACTACATAATATCCTGCAAACCTAAAAGACAGGAAATGTGTTTTATTATTAATAGTTTAACATGAAATACTTACATATTATTGAATTCAAAAATAAAATGGTGTATTATAAAAATGTAGTAAATTAAATTTGAATTGAATTGTAGTTTTGTATTTAAGATTAATTATGCTTCATGTATAGTTACAGCCATGGGTTGCATGTAATATTGATTTGTGATTATCTGACAGCTTGTAGTGGGGGATCTAGAGTTTCATGACTGAACTAAATTTACTTTATTAGAAATGACAGTATGAGTATATTTCTATATTGCTCAAATATTGCTCTATATCTTTAAAGATGGTGCTATATAGCACCTTATCCACCGCAAAGCGCTGAAGAACCATTACAGGTTCTCTATAGGTGCTATATAGCACTTAAATTGGTTCCCCTATGATTACGAGCCAAAGAACCACTTAGCGGTGCTATATAGCACCTCACCTACCACAAAGAACCGCTGAAAACCAGTTTTTGTGTGTGTGTGTGTGTGCGTGTGTGTGTGTGTGTGTGCTTCTGTTACGAGGAGTATTTACTGAGCTGAAGATGCTTTGCTGTCCACAACCTATACGCTCCAGTATCACTATTCAGAAAACTGGCATTTGTCTGCATAAATCTTGTCTAGTTATGATGTGATCATTAATTAAATAAAGCTGGGAAAAAACACATATACTCGCAAGAAAAAAAAAATGCATCGCTCAGCGTTTGTGTTTGGCACAATAAATCTGCTTCAGCCTAGATGAGGGTTTTTATAAACATCACACTGAAAAATTGTGTTTTGAGAGCCATTGGATCAGAAATAATTCTGCTGAGTAAATCCTGTCAGTGTGTGTGTGTGTGTGTGTGTGGTGTACAGGGACACAATGTTATCGCGAGGTGCCGGCTGTTTGCTCTCTGCCTGTGTGTGTACTATAACAGCACGCTGTTGTTGCTGTGTTATGAATGTGTGTGTAATTGTGCAGCTGAATGACCTGTGCTCTGCTATCAGAGCCTCAGCCATGCCGAGCGCTAATGACAGACCCCTGGGCCTAATCTACTGCTTTTAATGGGGTCTAGACTCTAGAGGGGCTGGCCTCAGCACAGACGCAGTTTCAGTCGAGAGTAAAGCAGGCCACCGAGATTTAGACGGACACTGTGCTTAGTGCTTTACTTTCCGGAAAACAGGGAAACAAGAAATGAAATCCAAACTGGACAGATGAAGAGGAATGGGGAAAGTCAAGACATTTAGCCAAATTCAGTCCAGCTGGTGACTACCCTTGTGAAAAAGAAGTACACTTTAGCACACTAGAAAAGGAGTACACAATAGAACATTATGATTAATTATAAATAAGTATTTGTGCTTTAGCACAGTATGTTAGTCAAAACATCAGAATATGTGTACTTCTTTATAGCACGACAAAAGATTATTAAATCATACTTCAAAATGAACTTTCAAGTAAAACTTAATTTGATATTATTACAAAGTGCACTTTTTAAAAGTGTGGTTACACTTTATTTTAAGGTTTCCTTGTTTCAGTGTAATTATACATGTAAGTACTGAGTAAACTACATGTAGTTACTATATGGTTAGGGTTTGGCTTAGGGTTACTTGCATGTAATTATGCATAATTAATTGTTATTATAATATTAAGTGCATGCAACATGTAACAAGGACACCTTAAAATAAAGTGTTACCAAAAGTGTATATAAGTGTGCTAAGAAATAGTCATGAAATTAAATGTACTTGTAAGATTTGATGTACACTAAAAGTGCCCATCATTACATATCATACACGGATCATAAAGAAATATGCAAAGGTGTCATGAGACATGATCAACAGGTAATCACAGTCTCTGAGCAGGAGGACAATTGCATGCATGTAGTCCAGAACAAAAGAGACAGGCCTGTATACACATGATAAGACTGTTTACACTGGATACTATGGTGATGAGAGAGAAAGAGTGAGAGACAGAGAGAGAGAGACGGCTGGTCAGATGCTTCTTGGTCGTCGTGTCAGAGACTGGAGTCATATGACGATGTATAGGTGACATGCTTAACCTCGCTGAAGGTGCAGGATGTTTTCCTTGTTCGCTTTTCATTTATTAATCAGTTTTCACATTGATTTCCATGTCATTATATGGAAAACTGCTGCTGTTATGCGTGTCGTTTGTAACATTGCATGCTTCTCTGTTTTCTGTTTGTCTTCTCTTATATTTCCCCCCTTCATCCCTTCTCTTATCTTGCAGGTGTTTGATAAAGGATTTCGAGACGCGTCCATCAGTGACGCATCTGCTAGAGCATCCGTTCATTAAACAGGCTCATGGGAAAGACACGTGGCTCAGACAGCAGCTGTCGGTCCTCATCCGCGAGCAACAGGACGTGGGCAGCAGGACCAAGACCAGGTACATTCTGCCCACAACACAAACCGCAGGCCAAACAACACTCTGACTTTTCTGAAATCACATCCAGATGTTCATGAGGCAGAGAAAAATACATCGCGGCACGTGCTTAAGAAGACTGACAGTTAAACACCACCGCTTGAGATTATAAATATACGGGTGGGTTAAACAGAAGTATTATTTGTTTGGTTTATAATAGCCTGCCAATCATAGATTGTCATTTTGAAGTGCTTTCTGATTCGTCTCAGGGTCAGACCAAAGATCTGGCAGCCTTGACCATGACAGCGGTCATTGTGAGGCGCTTGACTTGCAGTTATCACTGTCTTCTATAGATGCAGAGCTGTCGCGGTGGATTTATCACGTCTAAATGTGAAACAGTGAGACTTTCTGTTGTGACAGTCTAGAAATCTACGAATCACAGCATGTGGGTTGAGTTTTTTGTAGTACTGTGTCATCTATCACTTGAGGGTTTCCTCTTTCCAGCAGATGGCAGTGTTATCTGTGGAGGAATGAAGCCCCTCGGGTTATTCTGAGAGGCTGGCATTCAGGAGCATTAGATTCAGTCGGCGGCGGCGTACAAGTCAAACGGATATCTCTGATGCTGTTATAGACACTACACATAATGAAAAAAAGAGTTTCCACTGGATTCTCCTTGAAAATGTTAATTTAGACCCTTAAAATCCTGCAGATCTTGTATGACCTATTCTTTGGGCCCTTTGAGGAGGGGACAGGGGGCCTACAAAATTTGCAGACCTTTTGAATTTAAATGACCACCCTGCCTATAGTATTCTCAATAGTTGAGGTATAAAATTAACTCAAATTGGCCTTTAGATTCGTCTAAAAGTTGCTGAATATCAAATATGAAAGTATTCAACAATGTAAAATATTTTTGTTTACTGTATTCTAAAGCTTGACAAAGACTGGCCTTTCACATGAAAAACAGCATGATTCAGTTAAAAACTTAGTAAGATTGGTAAGATGGCTGGAAAGATTTTTAAATGATTTTTGAAAGTCTTTTATAGTCATAAGACCACTCACACACACGCACACACACACACACACACACACACACACACTATACCTGTTTGCCATTGTTTGACCCATGCCTGTTATGACCACGTCTCTGTCTAATAAAAGCCTGCAGATGGATCCGCACGTCTCACGTCTCGTTTGCCCCGTAACAGTTGTATTTTTGTTTTAACATAAACTGGTTATTGTAGCTACTTTGTTTTACTATATCTATTTTATGTTTGTATTTTGATCTTTTCTGCGAATGCACGTATGCATCTCTTTGTAAAGTAGGCTACTTTGTATACACTGTTTTAAAAGGCGCTATATACGTAAATAAAGCTTATTTCCCCAAATTTCCCAAATTATTGGAGAGGGTGAGCTTAATGTTTTTGCTTTTTACAACTTAATTGCATCATAAACAAAAGCTAAATTAGCCTAATATGAAAGCTTCTTCTTTTTTTTTTTTTTTAACTTGAGATAAAACTAAAAACGTTTTGTTAGTCAATGTTAAGTTTAGTTTATTTACTACTACAAAGACAACTTTGAAAGGCCTAATGTTTATTGTGACGATTATTTAAAATATGTATCATGCAAAGTGAGTGTTATTTACTTTTAGACAAACTGATTTTGACCCTGATTTTGATTAGACCAACATAAAAATGCCCTTTAAATAAATGGCAATAATAATATAAATGGTAAATAAACCCCTTTTTCACTTTAATTATATATTTGGGGTCATGTTATGTTTATGTTGCTTGGGCGATTCATTTCTATACTAAGATACGTCTGAAGCATTAGTACTCTTAACCCTGTCACCACATCTCTGATTCAGGGTTACAGGAGGATTCACAGTCCCTGATGAATTCAATGCGACAGAGGGAATTTTACATTTTACATCTTTTCCACTTGACTGAGACACAGCGATCAGGGCAGGATGTTAACTACTCTTGTTCTTGGGTGTCTATGTAACTTTTTCTGAGAAAGTGGTGGCTGGTACACTCTGTAATTGTGAATAAACAGTCAGAGGGTTGCCAGATTGTAACCACTTATTCCCCAGGCCACATATAATCTGCTAGCCTGATAGTGACAGTGAGAGAGCCGTAATGAGATTATGAGCTTGGCTGTGCTCTCTCTGTTTAGTCACTGATGGCAAATATCAGTGAAGTGATTACAGAGTGAGGGAACACTGATGCACACACAGAAACACAGCCACACACACATAAAGCGCAGTGTATCGTGTCTGTACGCTGTCATGTCCCCGGGGCCCGATGGGTTTTAAGAGCTGTGAATAGAGCAGCTGCTTCCTCATGATCTAAAGGTCAAAAATACAATAGAGGGTCAAACGCTGATGAAGTGCTTAGACTAGACGTTACAATAGCCTTTAAACCCCAGAGGATAGACCTGCATCACACCCTGATGCCGCATGCTGGATGTTTAGATTTTGGGTTACACTTTATTTTAAGGTGTTCTTGTTGTAGTGTAATTATACATTTAAGTACTGAGTAATATTAATTAACTACATGTTCTTGCTATATGGTTAGGGTTAGGATTAGGGTTCGGTTTAGGGTTACTGGCATGCAATTATGCATAATTTATTGTTATTATAATAGTAAGTACATGTAACATGTAACAAGGACACTTTAAAATAAAGTGCTACCAGATTTTGTTTTTTGGTGTTTACTAAGGCAAGCATCACTATTACCGGTCCTAATAGTTAGGGTTAAGGATTTTAACAAACCTCCACTAAATATTTAGCATGCATGTAACTAACTAGTCCTATAATATTTGTGACCCTGGACCACAAAACCAGTCATGAGGGTCTGATTTTGTTGTATTTATACATTATCTGAAAGCTGGACAAATAATATTTCCATTGATGTATGGTTTGTTAGGATAGGACAATATTTGGTCGAGATACAACTATTTGAAAATCTGGAATCTGAGGGTGCAAAAAAATCAAAATGTTGAGAAAATCACGTTTAAAGTTGTCCAAATGAAGTTCTTAGCAATGCATATTACTAATCAAAAATTAAGATTTGATATATTTACGGTAGGAAATTAACAAAATATCTTCATGGAACATGATCTTTACTTAATATACTAATGATTTTTGGCATAAAAGAAAAATCGATCATTTTGGCCCATACAATGTATTGCTGGCTATTGCTACAAATATACCTGTGCTACTTATGACTTTTATGTCATTTACTTATGGCTTTTGTGCTCCAGGGTCATTTGTGCTACAGACATCAATGGCACTTCAACTCAATAAATTACTTGTTTATGATTGAATAGATTTTTTAGTATTTCATGTTTATTGAAGCTGTAACATTGCTGTATTGTGTTTTACAGGCATGAGCGGATCAATACTCGCAAAACCCTGATAATTGAGAGCTGTCCTGATGATGATCTGGTGAACCTGGAGGTTTTAGACGAGGTATATCTAGATGATTTAGCTGAAATCGGCTTTTCATTTCTCAATCATACAGAAATAATTTTATTTTGATGTAAAGTCAACAAATTGACCTTAAAATCGACTTTCTTAGTACGTGTTCCTGGACGTATTTTTGATCAGTTTTTCCAAATAATTGCATAACTCCATTAAAATGCATTATGAAAACATAACATAATGTTCTGAAAGTAAAATGAGATGCAGTTGGCATTTTATGTTGACTTTAAAATGTAATGGAATTCAATTACTAAACTGTCTGCTCAAATTCAGTGAATTCAGTGAATCTTGTAGTATAAACAACAAAGATACATTTCCATCTCCAGCATTTCTCATTCTAGGAAATAATCATTACACATCTTCAGAGGCGATATCAGGAGCTGCAGATCTACACATATGTGGGTGATATCCTCATAGCGCTTAACCCTTTCCAGAACCTCAACATCTACTCTCCACAGGTGAGAGGAGCAGCATCAGGCTGTGCACTAAAGCATCATTTATGTCTAAAGCAGGCCATCTTTGTTTAAACCATCTTATGTGTACAATGTGTAATTCGCTTGGTGTTGTGGGGAGCCACTTCTATGGCGTTATTTTAATGACAAATGTCGAGAGCGCATTATTGTAGTGCGAAAGCACATTCATATAACGCGGGAGTGCGAATCTCTCCGCTCGCACAAAACTGGACGCGCTCAAATACACGCTGCTCTCGCCCGGAGAGAGTGCGCACACTTAAAACGTGTCTCTCCTCTCACTCTAACTGTGTCCTGTGCACTCTCAAATCTCTGTGCTCATGCACTATAGACGTAAATTATTTTCTCA